CACACACACACACACACACACACACACACACACACACGCACACCATTGCAAATGCTTCACACACCCCTGTTAACCACAGGCCTGTAAATGCAGAAAGAAGGAGGCCAGCACTGCTGAGGGAAATCCAATATGAGGCAGATTAAATAAATCTCAGAAAAGATATGGGTATAATAACAGGAAATTGATATCTTATCCTTTTAGATGTTGCTCCGGGTTATGAGACACATGTAGGATGGTGGTGCTCTTTATTTTTCTATTTTTCTCTCTGGAGCTGGTTGAATAGTAAAAGTTTGACTCCATACGTAATAGATGAAAAGCTAGTGTAACTGTATTTGTGTTAAACGGTTTGCATCAAAGAGACAGTTGATTTTCTTACACTTAACCAACGAACCTAACTGCATGCCTGTGTTCAGTTTGTAGAAGGAAGCCAGATTACTCAGAGAGAACCCACGCTTACACAGGAAAACATGCAAACTCCACACAGAAAGGCACCAACAAGCTGGTCGCGTTGAAACCAACAACTTCTTGCCGAGTGCTGATGATGCTGCAGTTTTAAGTGGACCTTCATTTTTCAGCTCGTAAAACCTGAAAAATAATTTTTCCTGTGACAACACGTTACTCAACCTCTAAATACCTGTTTATGATAATATGCAGGATTGTTTAAAACTCTGAGCACAACAACTGTTTTCTAATTTTGGAAATATAAGCCTCTCTGGATTAGGCTATGATGCAGTATGTTATAAAGTATCACAGTCCCAATGGTTTTCTTTAGTTTCCTGTTAATCCTATAGTTATTTTCTCTGTGTGCCTATCATGTTCTTTAGTGATATTCTGTGTATTTTCCTACTTACTTTACCTGAATTTGATGGAAAATGTCTTGCGGTCGAGGCAGAATGATGTGCAGAAAATCCGATTCTGTTTACTCTAGCCTCTTTAATAACATGACAGTGGATTAAGCCTGCTGTGCTGAAACGACAAGGTCCTTCTTAAATCTTAAGCGTCCAGTTTAAAACGTTTATTTATTAGCAACTGGGGAATTCAGGGTCTTAGCACAGGAGACAACTTGTGTCAGAAATAGAAGGAAGTTGATCCACGTTGCTGGTAAGTTCTGAAGCGTCTAATGTTTGAACTGAATTAGTCTAAAATGGGAGTGACTGGCCAGATTTTTCCAGGAGGCAAAAGACGATGGAGGGCAGACATGCAGCTGAATGATTTGGTGGGGACAGACCATCTCAGAATGAGCCTACAAGAATAAGAGCAAATAAATCAAACAGAGGGACAGGTGACATTAGCAGAGGCACAGTGATCATCAGAAAGCCTGCTTAGGACAACTAAAAGAGAACAAGCTTGAAGGAAGAAGGAAGCTTAAGTTGGCCCTTAAGTACTAGCTATATAACTACAATTTTTTACAGTTAAAAAAAAAGTAAAAAAAAAATTTTCCACGTAGACATTTTATCTATTGTAAAGGTGGTTTCTTAAAAAAATGTTTTTGTAATACAATCATAGTTCACAGTTCACCCATGCGTTTAAAAATATCTGCAGGTTATGGCAGGAAATAGAAAACGCAACATAAACTGCTTTTTTTTTTTGTAAGACAGTGCGTCACTTTGAACTGTGGAATGATTTGATCTCTTTTCCTTTCATAAAGGATGGTTCAGTGGAGCCTCTGGTAAAGTAGGTCATAAAAGATGTACTGCACCTTTCCTTAGTGTTTGGAGGATTCAGCTACAGACCAGCAGATACCTCCAGGTCACTTCTCTCAGTAGAAAACAGATCCCTCATGTGTTTTGTTCTGTTTTTATGTCCTGCTTTACTTTACTTTTGCCTTTTCAGCTGTGGTTGATGTTTCTTGTCTTCTGTCTTCCTCCTTGTCGTTAGATAGTATATTATTAGTTTGTTTTCCTATTTTTGTTGTTCGTTTGGTGATCTTAAATTGAGCTTACCTTTTGCTTTTGCTGTAATCTTGACATAAAAGCCTTCGCGTCTTTTCCCATCATGATGCAAAACAGTATTTTGGCTCAGCTTTCATTCAGACAAGAATTTGCTAACTGAGAACAATGTGGGGTTTAGGGTCACAGTCGATTTGACAGCAGGGCGTCTGCTGATCCTGCTGCTCTGTGTCGCCTCTTTACATTTGACTCTGACAGATTACAGGGAGCCTCCCTGCATGTGCCAAGGAATGCTCTGATGTGACAAATGACCCGGTGCTAAACGACGCTTTGTGTGTCTGCCCGCATGTCAGCGAAGGCCTCATTTCATAAATAACACAGGGGACGGCAGGCCTGCTGAAAGAAAGGGACAGCAGTGAGAGACAGAGGCAAACATCCTTCTCCTAACTTCTTCCTGAAAGCAAAGAAATGCTAATTTGCTTCCCCTGTTGCCAAGTAAAAATTTTCATTTTGGATTTTATGCCATTTTAATCGCTTAATTGTTTTTGAAAAAATACTCAAAATTACACAGTGAACACTATTTCATTTTTTTAATGACTATAGCATCTCTAATGCTGCACCACGGGATCGTTTTATGTGCAAATATATTTTTCTCAGCCCAAAAAACACAAAGGGAAGGAGCGAGAGAGCAAAGCGGCATACCCCCAACTGAGATTTGCCCCATTTGGCCATAAATATAATCTGTTTATAGATTATAGCCAGAGGAAATTATGAAACCAAACTAAAGTGAGATATCAGCAGGAAGTCTGATCACTAAGTAATTAATTATAACCAGATTTATTGAAATTGAAAACTGTTGCTTGTGCGGTTATGCGACCCTTGATTTGTATGTTTGTTTTGCTCCTCATGCTTTGCCTCTCACCACAGCCTGTATCTCTGCAGCTCTGTCTTTGTAAGCCTTTTTTCCCACACATGGAGTCTAATCAGTAGTAGCAGAGCTTCTTTTGTTATTGTGGGCTCTGTGTTGATTGTGCCAACAGTGGTTCTTTCTTCAGCCAACTGTGCAGGAAGAGTGTAAGTTTCACACCTAACTTCTCTTTCTATTTCTCCATCACCCGTCCACCTACTCGCTCTGTTCCCCCTCTGTGGAGAGC